AATAAAAACGTTGAAAAAAAAAATTAAAAAAAAACAAAAACAAAGCAGCATGTCAAGTGAACTGAAGAGTAATTTCCTGTTTCTCTATCTCTCCATAGCATTATTAGCATCATCATTGTTTTGGCTGGAGCCATTGCACTTATCATCGGTTTTGGTATCTCAGGTATGTGATTTCTTGCGTTATCGTGATCCATTCACCCCTTACCACTTAGGTGCCCGATTACTCAGCGCGGTCGAACGGAAAGAGCACAGGGCTTGGACCCAGAAAACCTCAGAGCAGAGCACTGCTTCTTCTACTTATGGACTCCGCTCTCTCCAAATTAGTCATTTAACTCCCCGGGCCTCAGTTGCCTCATTCGTAGGATGGGGGAATTAATGCCCAGGTCCCCAGGTAGTTGCGAGAGCCAAACGGGATGTGTACCAGGGTATTCTACCTACCAATCAGCGCTGAAGGTATCTGGCATCACAGGTAAAGGGCTACGGCGAGCCATTCTAGCAATGGTTGGCCTGGGTGGGTGGTTCCTTTGCAGTGAAACGTTGCTGAAGTGTTAAAGAAAATCAGGTCCTTGTGCACAGGGGTCCTAGGTAGCGGGAAGACAGGTTGTGACTGCTGTTTGTGCAGGAAACTGACGCCACCGTGCGTGGATGGTGAGATTCCAAAGGCAGCTGATGTCAGTTGCAGGAATAGTCTTCTCTCCCCTCTTCTGTGTGGACCGTGACTTGGAAGCGTCTATTATGGATGCCACTTAATTAAAACATTGAGTGAGTTAGGCCACAGCTGTCTTCTCACAGCAAACTGTTTGCTCCATTTCCCTTAAGCTGCCTGACTCAGGCCAACATTTCTATTTTAACTTAGTCTGGGGCCAAAGCTGTCGCTTTATAACTTCAGTTTCTATAGTCCCAGCTGCCTGTTGTCTCTGTCACTCTCCTCTGGTGGGGATGTGCTGCCACCAAACAGTGGTTGTGGCTTAAGTGAAGAAAATGGTAGCTGGTACATGTATTTGCCTAGAAAAGGCATTAGCACCTTTCCCCACTTCCTTGATCAAAAATAGGTATTTTGGGGGCCGCCTGGGTGGTTCAGTCAGTTAAGCGTCCAACTCTGGCTCAGGTCGTGATCTCGGGCTCTGTGGGTTTGAGCCCCGCCTTGAGCTCTGTGCTGACAGCTCAGAGCCTGGAGCCTGCTTCGGATTCTCTGTCTCCCTCTCTCTCTGCCCCTCCCCCGCTCACACTCTGTCTCTGTCTCTGTCTCTGTCTCTCTCTCTCAAAATTAACAAGCATTACAAAAATATTTTAAGAGAAAAAATAGGTATTTTAGGGTGCCTGGTTGGCTCAGTTAGTAGAGCAGGATACTCTTGATGTTGGGGTTGTAAGTCTGAGCCCCATGCTGGGTGTAGAGATTACTTAAAAAAACTAAAAACTTTAAAAAAAAAAAGGTATTTTTGTCTTTCATCCATTTTGATTGGATTATCTGCCTTTTTCTTTTTGATTTGTAGGAATCCTTTATATATTTTGGATGCAATTTGGTTATATGCATTGCAAAATCTCTTCTACACTATGGCTTGCTTTTTCCCTCTCTTAATGATGTCTTTCAATGCGAGCAAAAGCTCTTAATTTTAACCTAGTCCATTTTATCCATCTTTTCCTTTATACTGGAGCTTTTTGTAGCCTGTTTGGTTAAAAAAATATTTGCCTATCCCAAGGTCATGAAGATTTTTTCCCTAAGTTATCTTCTAGAAGCTTTCTTATTTCACCTTTCTCATTTATATCTATTAACCATTCAGAATTAATTTTGTGTGTGGTGCAAGAGAGTGGTCAAGATTCATATGTTCCGTGTGGCTCTCCAGGTGATCTCGCACCATTTGTCAAAAATACTGTCCTTCCCCCACGTCTCACCAAGTGCTATTTTTATCATAAATCAAGTATCTAAATGTGTATGGATCTGTTTCTGAGTGTACTAGCCTGTTTTATTCTAATATTCTTTTATAATTCATTTTCTTTTTATGTTCTCTCTCTACCTAGTCCTGATCTTGGGCATTTTATCTGTCCATCAGTCTGTGAGTATCTCTCTCTCCTTCTCTCATCTTAAAGCAGGTTTACAGGGCATTATTAGCTCAACAGTAGTTTTGAAAGAGCCACGTTTAGGTTTGTCTCTGATTGTTTTCCTATTTAATTAGTTTTGGCTTTTATCTTTATTAATGTCCCTCTTTCTGCTTTGTTTTGCTGTCTTTTCATTCTTTTTTCTAGTATCTTAAAATAAACACTTCTCAAAAGAGTATGTCCAGGAAAGCCAACATGGCCACCTGTGACTCAGTCAGTTAAGCATCTGACTTTTGATGTCGGCTCAGGTCATGATCTCACGGTTTGTGAGATCCAGGCCTGTGTCAGGCTTCCCACTGACAATGCCAAGTCTGCTTGGGATTCCCTCTCTCTTTCTCTCTGCCCCTGCCCCACTCACTCTCTCTCAAAATAAATAAATTAACATTTTTTAAAAAGAAAGCCAATTAATAGCGTTTAGGAGATGCTATCATTCAGCTTTCCAAAATGTTTACCAATTTACTCTTCACCAGAAGTGTATGAGAGATCCAGTGTTTCATGTCCTCACCAACCCTAGATACTATAGAATCCTTTTGTGGTTTTAATTCCTATTTCCTGGTGACTGAGGAGACTGAGTGCATGTTCATATGAGAATCATAATGTTGAGTGACAGAAGCATACACAAAACAGTACGTTCTATATGATTCCACGTATATATAGTTCAAAAACAGGCAAATGAATCTCTATTAGAAAGGAGAATAGTGGTTACTACCCTGGGAAGAGTTGAGGGGGTAGCCTTTAGGAGGCAGCATGAGGGGACTTCTGTGGGATAGTCAAGTTCTAGTTCTTGGTATGGGTGGTGGTTACGTGGAAATGAAAATGTGATAATTCTGCAGACTGCACAGTTACGATGTGTACATTTTTATGTAAATGTGTTGTACTTTAACACACTCATATAGGGGCGCCTAGATGGCTCAGTCAGTTAAGCATCCAACTTTGGCTCAGGTAATGATCTTGTGGTTCATGGGCTCAAGCCCTGCATCAGGCTCTGTGCTGACAGCTCAGAGTGTGGAGCCTGCTTCGGATTCTGTGTCTCCCCCTCTCTCTGTGTTTCCCCCACTTGCACTCTGTCTCTGTCTCTCTGTCTCTCAAAAATAAACATTAAAAAAATTTAAATATATTCATATATACACACACATTACAAATATATATTATAAAATATGTGTATATATACATTGGGAAATAAAATATCGACTGATAAAGTGAATATTTTGAACTAACTTTTAAAGATATCAGTATATACATTTTGGTAACTTCTTCACTAATGCTTAATTAGCTCTTCCTTAGTTATAATTTACCCATTCTGGATCTTATACACCTCCTTGAATTAAAACCCTAGGCACCTGGGTGGCTCAGTCAGTTGAGTGTCTAACTCTTGATTTTGGCTCAGGTCATGTTCCCATGGTCATGGGCTTCACCCTTCATCAAGCTCCACGCTGTGCAAGGAGCCTGCTTGAGATTCTCTCTCCCTCCCCCCCGCCTCTCTCTGTCCCTCTTCCCTGCTTGCACATTCTCTCTCTCTAAAAATAAAATAAAATAAAAAATACACTGCCTTAAAAACAACAAAAACAACAAAAACAACAGCAACAACTCTAGTGTTTGTCCTGCACTCTAAATCTTGGTGACGAACCTTTTTTGGGCTTAGGGCTAAACGGCTTGGCATGACACCCCTTATGGAATTATCTTTTACTTGACCACCCTAGCAAGAATTTTCACATTGCCACAGCTTCCCTGTGACAGTCAACATTTTGCCACTCACACTTTTCCTATTGTATGACTACAGCGACCTCAGTACTTAGCTCCGTCCCCTAAAGAGGATGCTCAGAGGGTACTCCCTAAGTGCTTTTTTGAACGGACAAGTGGATGGGTGCTTGGAGAAGCAAATACATGGATAAAAGCTAGTCTACCCAGTCCAGCAATATTCCACCAGTAATATTAAAGCCCTACTGCCAATAAAGAGGTTTTCTGCCTCCATCCTATTTCATGGGGTTAAAGCTGGGCATTTTGAATACAATAGGCTGTTTATGAATGTAACACGCTTTAGTTGGATTTTTCTCAGTTGCCTTTATTAAAACGCCCATAACCCTTACCCGAGAGCATCATATTATCACACTTTAGATAAATTCAATAAAATGTTAGCTGGCTTGGGGCGCCTGGCTCAGTCAGTTAGTGCCCGATTCTTGCTTTTGGCTCAGGTCATGATCTCACGGTTCGCAAGTTTGGGCCTCACGTTGGGCTCCACGCTGACAGTGTGGAGCCTGCTTAGGATTCTCTCTCTTCCTCTCTCCCTTCCCCTCTCCCACCCGCTCTGTCTCTCAAAATAAGTAAATCCACTTTAAAAAAACGTTAGCTGGCTTCATACACAAGGCAGTGAAATTAAGGAAATGGCAATACGTAGGTGATGGTGACGACGATGGCAATGTCTTTTGAATCTTTCCTGTGTGCACCTCACTGCAGTAAATAACTTTGCATACATTATCCAATTTACTATTCACAACAAAGAGGAGACAAGTATTATTCCTACCTCCCAATAACTACTCACCCAAGGTTGCACACGGCTAGCAAATGGCACAGTTGTGTTTCAGGCCCTGGTAATTTGCTTCCAGAACCCACACTCTTCCCTACCTTCCCTACCGGTACAGATAACGACTTTCGTACGGAGTTGTGGCAGGGAAGGGTGTTTTCTGGTGTGCCTTGCAGGCATCATTCCTGAGACCGCAGCTCAGACATAGAGATATTCCTAAATACAGAAGACAATTCCACCTCTTCAACACTCTCCTGAGGTCACATATGCCAGCTCCTCATCGCCACCCCACTCCTGAACAGTACTAAGTATGGACCCCAGAGCACATAAAATGTACGTGAGGTGAATTATTTGGAAGAGAGGTTGAGAGGCTCCCATTAATCCCTGGTTACAGGACAGCCTTTGTGGGTGGCCCTTCGAGACGGGGGCGGGGGGTGGGGGCGGATGCCGTGGAAAGGTCCCTGACCCTCTGCAGCCCAGTCCTCACACTGTCACTCACTCACTGGATGACTTGGAACAGCTCTGTGTAAGGGAAGAGTTGAGGGATCGGACAGAGACGTTCTCATCTCAGGTCTTAACTTTCCAGAAATGGTTTCCTCGCTGGTAAAAGAGCCGTTGTGGGAATTCAATGAGAAAAGTGTTTGCGAAGTACCTGGCCCATGAGTGTAATAAATGGCTGTCACTGTTATTTAGATTGATAGCGTCGGTGCTATTAATAATAAATTGTTGTTATTAATGCATTTATATGGCACTTCTTAAAAACTTCCGCAATTTCCTGGCCATGCCAGGGCTGGACACCTCCTCTGAAGTTAGGCCAGGGCAGGAAGCCACAGGACACGGTCTCATAATAAGTACTCCATCTTTGGACACTGGATAAGCCAACCAGGCATGTCCTCATGGCACCGAAACAGGAGACTGAACAAATTGTCTGCAAAGTATTTGAGAGGCATACAGATCTATATATCTAGAGCTAGGTCTAGATAACCTATCTAGATATCTAGATATAGATATAGAAATAGAGATTTTTTTTTTTCAAAGTTTATTTATTTTTGGGACAGAGAGAGACAGAGCATGAACGGGGGAGGGGCAGAGAGAGAGGGAGACACAGAATCGGAAACAGGCTCCAGGCTCTGAGCCATCAGCCCAGAGCCCGACGCGGGGCTCGAACTCACGGACCGCGAGATCGTGACCTGGCTGAAGTCGGACGCTTAACCGACTGCGCCACCCAGGCGCCCCAGAGATATTTTTTAATTGTAGTCATCTGAGAAACAGTTGTTGGCCTTTCTTACTTTCGTTTCATGGTTTTCAATCGTTTTTAATTTTACGTAAGGTAAAGATACCGTCTTACTGGATGGGCTCTCTGTGCGTCTCAAGCTGGTCATGGATATAAGCCAAATGTGGTAGAAAGAGCACAGGGTTAGTTCCAGACAAGATTGTGTTTGATCCTGGCTCCACTACATGCTAGACAGAGCTTCGGCCAGCCATTTAATCCCATGGAGCCTCTTTATCCTCAGTCATAAGAAGGGCATAATGGGAATTCTTATCTTTCCTGGTTCTTACCAGGCTTAAAAGGAGTCACTATAACTGAAGCACTTAGTAAAGTCTTCCTGTCCTCCTGGTGCTCTGATCTGCAATCTTTCCAAATGATTCTAGTTAATAATGGTTATCGAAAGCATTAAGATTTAACATGTGGCAAGTCAGGTGCTATGTTAAGCTCTTTGCCTGCGCTGTATCCTTTAGACCTTTCAGGGACTGTCTGAGGGAGCTACTATCATTAACATCTTAATTTTAGGGGCGCCTGGGGGGCTCAGTCGGTTAAGCGTCCAACCTCGACTCGGGTCATGATCTCGCGGTTCATGAGGTCGAGCCCCACGTTGGGCTCTGTGCTGACAGCTCAGAGCCTGGAGCCTGCTTTGGATTCTGTGTCTCCCACTCTCTGCCCCTCCTCTGTTCATGTTCTGTCCCGTCTCTCAAAAATAAGTAAACGTTAAAAAATTTTTAAAAGATGAAAAAAAATGAAATAAAGAAGTCAGAAAACTTGCCCAAGATCACATATCCAGTAAGCGGCAGAGATGAGACTTGAATCCAGACAGCCTGATACCCATTCTCAAACACCATATTCTACGGTGGCTTCCCACATTGTCCCTTCATCTAGCATGGCCCAGCATCCCTCCTCATTTCTTCTCACAGAAGCAGCCGTTACCCCCAATCCTGCTCTCCTCTCTGGCAAGAGGGGCACTCACATTGGTGCCAGCTTAAGCCTACGTGTTACCACCTTTAAGCCTTGTGCTATGGTGTCCGTCCAGGTGGCTGGGTGTTTCCAGACAATGCCGAGCAACCATTCCTGAAAGCTCCCAGTATGCTGTCTATGCTACTGGAATGTACAGGACTTGTCTCACTGAGTCATTTCAAAAGAAAGTTCATTTTCCAGGTTTTATCCAGTGGCACTGGACATCCCAGATTATAATTTCTGTAAAGAAGTCTTGCCTTGTGTCACCTATAACCTCACTTTCCAAGAGATTTCTGCTCCTACAGGGCAGGGCAATTGAATAGCGCTCACCCAGTGTGAAAACAGAACCGCTCAGATTTTGGCCTGCTTCTCTTTTACAGCTACTCTTCTCCGATGCAAACCAGAGCTGTCAGAGCAATTAGCCCTCAAGGGCTAGAGAATGCATTTTCAGTAAGTGGCAGGGCTTTCCAACTTTAAAGTTGAAATCTTAGAGGCCAGTGAAATTCCTAAAATCTGTGCCTGTTTCAATTAACAGAAATCTCTATCAATAGATAACCACCTTGGGGCGCCTGGGTGGTGCAGTCGGTTAAGCGTCTGACTTCAGCCAGGTCACGATCTCGCGGTCCGGGAGTTCGAGCCCCGGGTCAGGCTCTGGGCTGATGGCTCAGAGCCTGGAGCCTGTTTCCGATTCTGTGTCTCCCTCTCTCTCTGCCCCTCCCCCGTTCATGCTCTGTCTCTCTCTGTCCCAAAAATAAATAAATGTTGAAAAAAAAAATTTAATAGATAACCACCTCAAACCCATCTCCTGGAGTCCTCTTACCCTCCGGCTCACCAAATCACACAAGAGCCACTGGTGGTTAAGAGGCCTGGAGAATACTACCAGGCCAGATTGTGTTTCCTAAAACAATTGGCTCTTTGAGCCAATATTTGCTTGTAAGTTTGAATACAGATTTCTTTCTTTCTTTTCTTTCTTTCTTTATCTCTTTCTTTCTTTTTCTTTCTTTTATTTTCTTCTTTTTTTTGAAAAGCAATATTTGTATGCTATTGCTTGCAAATGAAATTTCCTTTAATCACTTTTAATCATCATTTATTCAGCTAACAAGCATTTATTGATTGCTTTCTGGGTGCAAAGCCATGGCTAGGTCCTCATGGTTTTTTAAGTTCTCCCTAGTTTTTATTCCTCCTCTTGATTTGATAAGGGAGGGGAGCATTTAATCGACATTATGCTCATTCCATCTGCCACATCTTTAATGCAACCTTAAATGGGCTAGAGCCTTGCAGTGGGTCCCTGGGGCACTCCACACTTGCCTACTTTCAATCATTAAGTTCTCTAAGAGATATTTCAGCAAATTCTCTACCTTTGGGCTCAAGGCCAACACATTAAAATTAATTCGGTAGCACAATTACCAAACTCAGATATGTCATTACCATTTCATTCTCTCTATAAACTGTGTTAATCATGTATTTTTTCTGAAAAGTAATTTTTCTTTTTTTTTTTTTTAATTTTTTTTTCAACTTTTTAAATTTATTTTTGGGACAGAGAGAGACAGAGCATGAACGGGGGAGGGGCAGAGAGAGAGGGAGACACAGAATCGGAAACAGGCTCCAGGCTCCGAGCCATCAGCCCAGAGCCCGACGCAGGGCTCGAACTCACGGACCGCGAGATCGTGACCTGGCTGAAGTCGGATGCTTAACCGACTGCGCCACCCAGGCGCCCCTGAAAAGTAATTTTTCAATTCAACTTTAATGGCACATTATAAACTACAATCAAATTTATCCCTGCTCTAACATAGTTACATTTGCTCCATGATTGTATTGAGAATCTCTGTATTTTCATTGCCTTCTTTTTCACTGGCTCACGTTTCCCCAAAATTTAGATGCGGTAATCCTGCCCAATATTCCTTATTCCTATAACCATTTTGGATAGTAGCATGATCTCATATAGTGCCTTGATTTCTACTCATTTCCATTCACTCATTCATGTATTCACTCAATGAACAAACACTCTTTTTCTTTGTAGAAATGTAGCATTAGGCACTTGTCTTACTTTGTTCAGGCTGCCATAACAAAATATCATAGACTGGGTGGCTTAAAAAACAGAAATTTATTTTCTCACAGTTCTGGAGGCTGGAAAGTCCTCCCCAGGTTTTAGGTGGCCCCATCTCTAAGGCTACAATGGTAGTGGTCCTCTGGCCTGTTGAAACACAGACAATGGCCCTCATCCTTTGAAAGGAAGGAGGCACACCCGATGATCTCTGCGCATCACCTTTAGATTGTTTTTCCCTTTTCTGGAAGAATAGCACATATTTACAGCTCTATGGTCTTGGCCTGCAGGATCTAAGAAATCTGACAGCCTTCCTTCATTTGTCTCATTTTTTCTATCCCCTTTAGTTTTTCTGTCCCCTGCTGGTGCTGTTGCTGCTGGTATAGTCCCCATTTCTATTCCTGGCTTCTGCCGAGGTGGCTAATTAAACCTTTCTCATTTTTTTGCAATATGGATAGGCTGAGAAATTTCCAAATCTTCAAGTTATGGTTCTTTTTAATTTAACAATTCCTTCTTCAATTCATCTCTTTCCTTTCTTAAATTTTACTATAAGCAGTCAAGAGTAACCAAAATGCTCCTTCAAACCTTTGCTTAGAAATCTCAGTTAGGGGCACCTGGCTGGCTCAGTGAGTAAAGCATCTGACTCTTGATCTCGAGGTCATGAGTTCGAGTCCCACATTTGGTGTAGAGATCACTTTAAAAATATACAATCAATTAATTATATACCCAATTCCATTACTTGTAAATTCAAAATTCCATCACTTATAAATTCAACTTTCCACAAAACACTAGAACATAGTTTAACCAAGTTCTCTGCCACTTTATAACAGAATGACTTTTCCTCCAGTTTCCAATAACATGTTCCTCATTTCCATCTGAGACCTTACCAGAATCACCCTTAACATCCATATTTCTACATGCATCTTAAAATTCTTCCAGCCCCTACCCAGGACCCTGTTTCAAAGCACCTTCCACATGCTTACTAGTCTATTACACCAGCACCTCACTTCTTAGTACCAAAATTTGTATTAGTCAGGGTCGTCCCGAGAAACAGAACCCAGAACCAATTGGAGTGTGTGTGTGTGTGTGTGTGTGTGTGTGTGTGTGTGTGTGTAATGAGAGAGAGGGAGGGAGACATTTAGAAAGAATTGGCTCACACAATTGTGGAGGCTAAAAAATCCCAAGATCTGCTTCATCAAGCTGGAGACCCAGACGGTTGAGTTCCAATCTGAGTCCAAAGGCTTGAGAACCTGGAGAGCCAATGATGTAGTTCCAGTCCCAAAACTGGCAGGCTCAAGATCCAAGAAGACAGTGTTTCAGGTCTAGCCCAAAGGCAGGAAAAGACAAACGTCCCGGCTGAAAGCAATCAGGCAGTCGGAGTTCCCTCGTACTCAGGCTTTGTGTTCTATTCAGGCCTTCTACTGATTGCATGACGCCCCCCAAATAAGGGGCGGGGGGTGACCTGCTTTACTCCGTCTACTGAATCAAATGTTAATCTTATCCAGAAACATCCTCACAGACGCCCCAGGATGTCTGACCAAATGCCTGGGCATCCCGTGGCCCAGTCAAGTTGACATATAAAATCAGAGCATTATAGGGCTTACGAATATCATGAAGACAGTCTCCGTCCTTGAAAAGCTGACAAATGTGTGCCAGGGACAGGCTAGACACAAGGTGGAGGGAGACAGCTGCTATAATAAAGGCAAGGGAAAGTATTATGGGAGAGTAGAGAATCTATTAATTTTGTCTTGGCAGATCAAAAGAGGGCTTCACGCAAGGGCTGCCATCTGAACAACCTTGCATAGAAGTAGAATTTGGATAGCTGGTGATAAAGGAGAGGGGGGGAACTATAAATTGGAGGTGCGAGATGAACAGGGGTGTGAAGATGCATAGTATAATGGTATAACCAGTACTACCCTGGAATGTCTTGGATATTAGTCTGTCAAGTAAAAATAATTGAAAAGCAAATTAAATCTTTAAAGCAGAGTTCAAGAAAATGCCAAGGCAGGGGATGGGGCCTGTTGCATTCATATAATGCATTGAAACTCCGTACGGTCGTCTTTCATAATTTCTCTCCCAGATCTCCCACGTGAATGGCCACTGCGCATGGCAGCTGCTCCCAGGTCTCACTCCCCCCACACTCAAAAGTCTGCGCAACTTCCTCCCAAGCCAGCCTGTGCACAGGTTTTGTTTCCCCTGCCTCTTTTTTACCTAGAACTTTTCTTCTATCAGTAACTCTGTTCTTTCTAAATAAACCCATTGAGCTTAGCTTCTTCGGGTCTGTCTTTCATCCAGTACCTTCACCTACTTTCCATAAAGCCTACGAGCCAATTAGTTCCAATCCCTAATGGGCTAGGAGAGGTGAAATGCCAAGGATATCCTTATGTTCATAGCATTTACCTCTTAAATCTGAAAAATAGCATGCATACCTTGTGTATTTTTTCCAGTGAAAGCAGAAAATCAATAAATCACTTGATATACATAAATAGTAGAGACTATGGAAGGATGTGTTAGGAAATGAGATTGGAAAGGCGGCGATAAAAACTAATATCTATGGGGCACTTACTATGTGCCAACCAGGATTTAGCTTTGAAGGCCATGCTAGTAAGTCTGAACTTTATTTACTCCACAGCCTTTGGGAGCCGTGGAAGATTAGTGATTATAAAACTGATGTGTCCAGACTGTATTTTAAGGTCTACCCGTAAGATGAATGCATGTAAACTAGATTGGATGGAAGCAAAGATGAAGCGCAGAAATACCAACAGGGAAGCCAAGAAATGCTCAGGACCCATCAAGTAGGACTTTTTTGGCTCTAAGAAGGAGAGGTGTGTGCCGACTGTTTTAATATAACAAACAAAGCGTTTGTTTAAAAGGTACTCAGATATTGGGACAGGAACTAGACGTGGAACACCTCAGGATCTAAGACAGCTGTAGGGGTGGAGGATTCTCTTCATCTTTCTCTCGCATGTTCTCTCCCCCACACTTTGGATCGGCTCCACTCTCCTCTTGGGCTCAAATGCCCCTCCCCCTCCTTCACTTCACAACCAACCACGGAAGGAGTCTCTCAAGAAGATTCGGTTAATAAGAGACTCTTAAGTACTGAGAACACACTGAGGGTTGATGGGGGGGTGGGGGAGAGGGGAAAGTGGGTGATGGGCATTGAGGAGGGCACCTGTTGGAATGAGCACGGGGTGTTGTATGGAAACCAAATTGACAATAAATTATATTTTAAAAAAAGAAGAATTAGATTTGGTTAATTAAATCACCCCTACAGGCATGCCCAGTCATTCAGTTGGTCAGTCCTTCACAGATTGCACAGGCTGTCCACTGGGCAAGTGGGGGAGAGGCAGTGGACACGTCTGGCATCATAATTAATATTTCTACTGGTGGTATGTTTGGAGGGCGGGGTGGTATCTATCTTAAGCCAAAAATCAATTAAATTAAGTACCATTCTTCATTACACCATAGCTAGCACTATAACTTTGACCAAGTCACTTATCTCCTCTTTGCTTTGGTTTCTTCATCATCCAAATGGAGATCAAAGTAACAGCACTTTAGAATCTAGCATTCTCCAGAATCACTAGCCACATTTAGTTAACGTGAGGTCTCACTTCTGTGCCACTTCTGGTTAACCAAGAGTAACAATACCTGATGTGTGTCATTGCAGTTTGCAAATCAAGTTCACGTCCATTTGATTTGATCCTCATAAGAACCCTTTCAGGTGGGGAAGACAGATATCATTCCCTCCATTTTTCTGAGACCCAGAGAGGTTACATGATTTACTCAAGCTCACACAGCTATTAAGTCAGAAAGCCAGGACTTGAATTCCCATTTCAAACTCCAAGTTCCGTATGTTCTCTACTTGTCACCTCTCAAGTTTGGGTTGCCTGTTCCCAAACAGCAGATCTGCTGTAGATCAAGGCTATTGTGTCCCTGTTCTTTCTATTCTTATGTCTTCTTTTTTTATGCCTCTCCTGTTCTTCTACATTTCTAATTTTTTCCAGAAGTGTTTGGCCTTCAGTAATGAAGGGTTTGGTTGTAGACATTCCAAGACTTCCCTCAGCATTGACCCTTGCTTCCTGAATTACAGGGAGACACTCCATTAGAGTCACTACTCTCACCTCCGCTGGGAACATCGGGGAGGATGGAATCCTGAGCTGCATTTTTGAACCTGACATCAAACTTTCTGATATCGTGATACAGTGGCTGAAGGAAGGTGTTATGGGCTTGGTACATGAGTTCAAAGAAGGCAAAGACGACCTGTCAGACCAAGACGAGATGTTCAGAGGCAGGACGGCTGTGTTTGCGGATCAAGTGATAGGTGGCAATGCCTCTCTGAGGCTGAAAAACGTGCAACTCACAGATGCTGGCACCTATAAATGTTACATCATCACCTCCAAAGGCAAGGGGAATGCTAACCTTGAGTATAAAACTGGAGGTGAGTCACTTTGGGAAAGAGGGAAAGAAAGTGCCCAAAGGTAGGTGCCCAAAGGTATTTGGGGCTAAAGACCATGGATGGCTGATGGAATATGTGTGCCCAAGAGTGACCAATAAGACGAAGGCTGTCTGAATTCTGCCAGCATCCATCCTTGCTGTCCAAGGCCCACAGCAACTCCAAAAATAGCCCCCTATCATATTAGATCTTAAAATCTTCTGTTCTGGACTCTAGTCTTTTCCAGATTTTCAGGTATATTCCCTGAAATATCTTGCCAAAATAAACGTGGTCTCTTTCATGCTAGCCTGTGTCATTACTAGCAAGAGAAACCTGTGATCTGGCCTGAGACTTTTCTACAAGAAGTAGGCCCTAGCCCAAGTCTGAATTCAGTACCTCCAGGGGCTTATGGCAGTGGAACCCATTTTAGGAAGACTTCAAAAGGAACTAATGAAAAACAGTATTGTCCTATAAACTCACTAATCCTCCCCCAGTGAAATCCACCCTTCCTTATCAACTCAGCTTGGTGAATTACTGTACAAGGAACTCAGAAATGTACTGTGAGGAGTAAAAAGATGATTAAGAAAACTAGATGATTGTCCCCCGTCTTGAAGAGCTCTTTGTATAGAGCATATAGAGTTGAGGGCCGGGGCAGAGATAAGAAAAATGGGTAAATAACTATAATACTTGGTAAAGTGTATCAAATGCTTTAAGAGAAATACACAGTGATTTGGGGATTCAGAGGGAGAGAGAGATAACATCCAAATGCCTAGAGAGGGGATGGATAGGAAAGCCCCCACGGAGAATTTGGCATTTGAGAAAGGCCTTGCAAGATAGGCAGAAAGTATCCCGAGGTCTCCTGGCCTGCACAGGCCTTCCTTGGACACTTCATAACACGTGTTTATATTTGTTTGAGGCACAGATCTAGAGCCAGACCTGGACAAGTATAGTGACCTAGGCAAGGCAACCTGACTGGGCCTTAGTTTCTTCATCTTAAAATGGGGATTCCTAGGGTCATATCAAAGGGACACCGGAGCCAACTGAAAGGGCTTCCAATGGCAAAGCTGGAACAGTCTGAGCAACCATATAGACAGCATGGTATTAAATTAGAACTCCAAGTACAAAACAAACATGCGAGTCCATACTTCTATAAATATGAGGGAGACGGCCCAAACCTTTACAGATGAATTCCAAATAATGTATTTAGATCTCCCCACTCCTGGAGGTAGAGCTTAACACTTCCTCCCTCCCCCATGACCACACAGAGTGTGTGTTTTTCTCAGGAAGTCCAGCTTCCAGAGAAAACTGCCTCAGCCGGGTGATCAAAGTTAACCTCATCAGTGATAAGTCATGTTGATAGCATGCCTTCTGATGTGACATGATGAGGAGGATGCTCTTCCTCCCACCGTCTTCGTCTCCAAAACCCATAGCACCAATCTAATCATGAGAAAAGCATCAGACAGATTCCAAGAGAGGGGCATCCCACAAAATATCTGACCAATACCACTCACAACTGTCAAGATCAGGAAAAACATGGAAAGACTGAGATACTGTCACAGGCCAGAGGAACCTAAGAGGCCGGGAGGACCAAATGCAACATGGGATGCTGGGGAAGAAAAAGGACATTAGTGGGAAAACTGGTGAAATGCAAACAAAGTCTGGAGATAAGTTAATAGTTATGTACCAGTGATGGCTTCTATTAAAACTACATAATAGTTATGTACCAGTGATGGGTTTCTCTGGCACATTTTGACAGATGTGCCACGGTTATTTAGGATGTTAACATTAGGGAAAATGGGGTGAGGTGTATACAAGATCTCTGTGCTATCCTGGCAACGTTTCTGTAAATCTAAAATCATGCCAAACTTAAAAGCTTATTTTTAAAATGGTGATAATAGATATCCTTGTAACTGTTGTGAGGATCAAATGAAATAATGTCTGGAATTTGGTACCTGACACAGAGAACACCCTCAATAAATGGTGGTTCACTGTCATGTACACTCAGTTCCTTACATCATCTCCCGGGAGCTCATTCCCTGCCTGCTGGGAGGGGATGAGTCCCATCTCCCCTGCTAGATGGCAGACTCTTTAAGGGCAAGGCAAGGTCTTTCCTTGTACCACTCACTCAGTTCCAGCACAGTCCCGGGTGAAGGAAAGTGCTAAATAACTTAATAAATTATATCCTGGCATAATAAGCATTTTACAGTCAAAAGTCCAGGACTTAACATTTTTCCATAAGTATCTTTCTGCCTGAATATTAGAAGAAGCTAGTCTTAATTTCCAAGTTCACTTACCTCCCCAAGAAGGAGAACTATCTTAGAAGAAGACAAATGCCTGCCTCTACCCCTGGACACCAGGGCTGGAGAGGCTCCACCCAAGAAAATCCAAACCACCATGATGGGAAGGCCTGTATATGGAATTTCTGTGGGCGACAGGTGAATGCTGTTTGTTTTTTCCTTCTCCCTCCCCCTCCCCACCCTAACTTTATCCTCCAGGCAGAAAAATACATAAAAAAAAATCCAAGAGGCTTCACAGGTACCTGAGAAAATGCCCAATTTCCTTAAGGGATACACTTTCTTGTGATCAACTTTATCCTTTATCTTTAAAGGGATAAACTGGAACTCATCTTAGTTGGAGAGATTTACCTGTTATAACAATGATACCTAAAACTTAGGTCTTGGCCAAAGGGTTGTGTAAATCTTTACTGGAAACTACTATACAATGGGCCATGCACAGACAGCCCACTGGGGAAGTATTGAGTCACTTCAGTGGTGGAAATGACTGTGTTTTTAAGACCTTGCACTTCAAAGGCTATATTGTTTTATTGGTATGACCTTGACATCTGCCCCTTTCAACCTGCAGCCTTCAGCATCCCAGAGGTGAACGTGGACTATAATGCCAGCTCAGAGAGCCTACGGTGTGAGGCTCCCCGATGGTTCCCCCAGCCTACAGTGGTCTGGGCATCCCAAGTTGACCAGGGAGCCAACTTCTCAGAAGTCTCCAATACCAGCTTTGAGCTGAACTCTGAGAATGTGACCATGAAGGTTGTGTCCGTACTCTACAATGTCACGATCAACAACACGTACTCCTGTATGATTGAGAACAACATTGCCAAAGCCACAGGGGATATCAAAGTGACAGGTGGGTTTCTCCATGCTTTTTGTACACTTTTCGTATGGGTTTACTGGGGGTGAGAATCAAATCTGAATTAAAATCTAATTTCTTTAACAGATATATTATGTATCAGGGAACGGAAAGCTCTAGAGTCCTCTTCATGGAGACCTTAGCCACAATTATAGTGAAGAAGCCTAACACAAGACAATATTTATGGCATATAGGTCAAAAATTGCAATGAGGCTTCATCTTGTATGCCTTCTCATTGACTGGGGGTGGTTCCCTAGAAAGCAGTATTTAGGAATCTGTGGCCCTAACTCAGTAGGTCTGCTTTGGTGAAGCAATGAGGAAAATGACAATTATTTGACATCTTTGACATATTCAGCTGGTGATCTACATGCCTAGCCCCCCAAAACTGATTTGGTTCTAGCCTGCTTTTGAGAAGACTTTTTTAGGGTCTGACTTAGTCTTATTCAGCCCATCTAGGACTGGCTCATGATCCCACTAACACTGGCCTGGGATTTATCTGAAAGCTCTGGCATTAAGTGGCCTCCCAGGCTGACACGACCAAGACTCAGAGAGGCCCAACATGCTAGTTTCCCTGCTTTCATGCACACACACACACACACACACACACACACACACAAAACCTAGGGTTAACCTAGTGTCTAGAAAATGTACAGACTGGATTATGACTTTTAAGACTGTCCCTACGGCAGCTGAATTAAAAATTCAGTCTAGAATGGAAGGCGTATGTCAGGAGCACTGCTGTCTCATATCCAGCCCAGAACCAGTGGAATACCTTGCACATGTAAGAGCCCTATCAAGAATGTTTGCTGAATTTAGCAGATCCTGCACACCGAGAAAACTGATTTGAGGATTAACACAACAATCTGCACAACCTGAACCACAGGTTCAGGGAGACGATGGAGAATACAGGAAAAGCACTCCCCCTCAAAAACAGCTGGACAGAAAGCGGAAAAGTGGAAACAGCCGCAGGGACTGAACTGAAAAGGGAGAAAGGAGAGGAGAGGGTTTAAATTCCATTATAATTTAATGGATTATTAAACAGGGAGCGCAGAGTCTGCAACTCCGCAGCTGATACCTGGCGGTGCTCCGGTGGGAAGGGTGAATCCCCAGGAGCAGAGTGGGGTCCGGGGCTCTTCGGGCCACACAGGGAGAGGCGGTTCCCCTGCTAGGAGGACATTCGGTAGAGGCTGTGCGGCCACCCGGAGAAAATCAGTATTCGCTGGTGCTGGAACAAGTTCGCTGGGGGTGAAGCCAGATGCGGGTTGAGATTTTCCATAATCCCTGAAACGCTGCTGCCACCTGATCGCGGGAACTTTCTCTGGGGCGGCTGGCACCCAGCCAAGCCGCAGTCTCTGGGCGTCAGCAGCACAGTCCCGCCAACGTTCCTGGGGGTGGCGGCACGCGGCCGGTGCTCGGTGAGACCCTCCTAAAGAGGGGCGGAGCGGGTCAGAGCCGCGGTCCCTCGAAAGTGAGGGGTCGGGAAACACAGTCTCATTTGAGATAAAACTCAGGAGGGAAGTGCCGCCTGGCACCCTGATGGCTTGGTCACACAGGGTATAAAAGCAGGGAGCCGCCACAAACCAGAGACAAAGGATGGGTGTGTGACTAGAGACGGGGTAGCTGGGTGACA